AAATATTATATTACTCGCATCACAACATTATTTTCTTTAAATTTGCTCTCATGATTTGAGAAAATAAGCAGGATTGGATCATAGACAGGTCTGAAATCTAGAGTGTCGAGCAACTCAGAGGAAAATAAAAGTAAAAAATGTGAATATACAAAGCTAGGAAGACATGATATTTAGTAATTTCCAGTCGACAAAATGCCATTCTTTTGACTGTGGTTGTTAACAACTTCATTTCTACTAATCCAAAATATATTTCATCAGTACCTCATTGTTCGTAACCCCCAACAAACTTTCAAAATGTTCAAGTCAAATGTTATTTTGCTTTTCATTAATAATCATTTGCTCTTCTGATATAGTCACCTTTTGCTCACATTTTTAATCAACATTGCTAGCATCTTACTGAGCATTTACCATTACCGTTTTTGCAGCTCAGGAAATATGCGATTAAAAACAAAACTAACATGTTTCATCAAAGATTGGACCCTATCTTAACTACTAACGTTATTTGGAGAAGCAAGGGCAGCTCCAGAATGCTTTTCGGCCTTAATAATTCCGAGTAATAAGAAATAAAGTGTGGATACAAGCCATAGGATTGTTTTTTGGAGGCAAATTTTCTGTAATTTTCAAATTGATATATCTGCACATACTACATCATAAGCAGAAGTTGGCTATTCTACTGTCCAAAAAACCTAAAGAACCGTAGCTACGCACAGCCTTCAGTATAGCCTTCAATTAAACCTTGACATTATTAGGGTAAACCTACACGCTCATTGATTATGGTTTTCCCGTCTTTCAATCAAAAATTGGAAATTAGTGTAGCACGAGAGCTGGTACGTAGACCATTTTTATAAGCTTTAGATTTCAAAGTCGCAAAAAATTCTTTAAAAACTCTTGTATGGTTCATTGATCGGATCTCGACGTTCAATCATCTATATATGGCTAAAATACGCTAGACACAACACCTCGTTGTTTTTAACTTTACAAGTTGAACGATACTTCATTTCAAAGTTTCATTTTATATCTTCGTTCAAAGTTCAAATCCTAACTCTAATTTCGGCCTTCGTACCACCTACTGATTTCTGACTCAACATGTTCTGTACATCGAAGTCATAAGAAGTTTTTTGAAAATATTCCTCAATTGCGTATTTATTTAGTTTGTCAGAGCATGTCCTTTGGTGGAACGCCTTCAGCTGTTCATTGACGTTCAATGGCAGATAACTTTTCTACCCAAAACCACACAAATTAGCTTTTCTCTGAACAGCCCATAGTTTTTATAGCCACAGTCTTCTTTTCTTAGAAGTTCGAAAAGCATATTTTGCAGCAAAGGATCTTCCTTTAAGCAAAGAGTTCTAATTTATTGCGAAACTTGAGCAAAGATTTCTAAAAAATCAAACATCTGCCATATCAACAGGAGAGTTGGAAACGAAACTGAAACAGCCACAATTTTTTTTTTAAAAAATTTAGTTTGGGTGCACAATAAGCTTATGGTATATGTTGATTCCTTTTTTAATTTGC